GCGTGGTAGGCTCCCGAACCCGACTACTTCAAGGTAAGGACTTTTTTTGCGGTAGTTGGAGGAGTGCCAAAGGCACGGGAAGGTTGATGCGCCCGAGGGGTTGTGTGCGCTTCTCGGCATGATGCCATGGAAGGTGCGACGTCGCCTCGGAGCCTCGACCGGTCGATCTCTCAAGAGCTCTAGGGTATTGACGTAGAGGATATTGAGAGGCCGCCTCCGTCCATCAACACCTTGAGAGTCGAGTGTTGTTGATGATCGGGTCGACGACCGATGCAGTCTTGTCTGGGGTTCGGAACATGGTCGGTGGTGGTCCCGATCGAAGGTGATCGCTCCCGAGACCGGTCCGAGGTACTCGGGGTGGCCACCTTGATCGAGAAGACCTCTCGGCGTTCCCTCTTGCGCCGCTGGCACAGAAGGCACGCCGAGGGTCCCCGAAGATCATGAAGGCGTTGCATACCTCGGGAACCCGTCATCCTTATCGTCGTCCCGGTCGCCGGGCGCTTCTACGCTTGGCGACGCTGTCGAGGGAGCCCAAGCTCGGGCGAGTAACGCCGCACCATGGAGCAATCCTCGAGGGCGTGTTTGACCGGGCCTTGGTGGTAAGGGGTGGTTTCTTAAGCATGTCGTCGAAAGGCCTAGGGCCTTTGGGGCCTCGGGATTCTTACGTTCGTGGCGCGCGACCAGATCGGCCTCCGGGACCTCCCCGCTTCCCAGCGCCTTTTTTTCTTTCTCTTGGGGAGGTGGGAGGCTAAGGCCTCGGGGGCCTCGTCCCCACGCTTACCCTTGGTGTTCTTGTCGGGAAGATGGCTCGACAGCCTCCTCACCCGAGGCGGTTGGTGGCGATGTCGAGGAGCGCAGCAATGAGCGTGGCACGCCCGACCTAACTCTCGAACCAAGTCTCAAAGCAGGTGGTGCGGAGAGGAAAGCTCGGACGATCTCCGAATCACCGACGCTGGGCAACTCGGCACTTTGCTTGGAGAAGCGCGGATGAAGTCTCGGAGGGACTCGTCCGGCTTCTGGCGGCAGCTCTTAAGATCCTAGGAGTTCCTAGGGCGCACGATGTGCCCCGAAAGTTCGACGAAGATCCCAACCAAGTCGCCGGTCGTGGATTTGTGAGGGAGGGAGGTGCTCGAGCTGTGCTCGCGCCGAGTCCGACAAGAGCAGGAGGTTGTTGGATGATGAACAGGTCATCATCTGCGCCACCTAATCGGGCGAGCCATGCGTAATTCGGCAAGCCGAGTTCAGGTTGGTCTCGCCGTTGTACTTCGCGAGATTGGTGGTTGTTGAAATCAGGCGGGAAAAGAGCAGTGCATGGATGGCCTCGGGCCAAGACCCGAGGGTCTGGCGGTTCGAAGGAAGGATCTGCGGTCCTCCCCGCTGTCATAGCGGCCGCCTCGGTGTGGGTGGTAGCCCCAGCGGGCCCCTCGCTGTCGTGGTGTCGTCGCCTGCTGACCACCTCATGGTTTCCCTATACCTCGCGTCGGTTGCCGAGGTGATCCGTATATCGGGGCCCTATGGGCTATCGGTGCTCGAGCGGGCTCGGACGAGCCGAGGCTTCCCCTGTCTTGCCAAGGCGGTGCCGCTGGTAGGTTCGAGACGCCCGTGCTGCGTCGGGAGGCGGAACTCTCGCTTCTCTTGAACCATGGGCGGTCTCTAGGAGCTCGGAGCTCGCTGTGGACCCGCCGCCCTCCGTGGTAGAAGGCTCGGGCATCACGCTGAACCAAAGACATTGCCGCTGCCACGACGTTCGGGCCGGGCGCGATTGAAGATCGGGGTTGCTCGCTCCCTTCGTCGTCGTCGTGGATGCGATGATGTACATCACGGGCCCTTTGTCGGGCTCCTCTGCCTTCGCCGCGACCTCGCTGCTCCTGTTCGAGAGAGTCTTGAAGCTCTCAGATAAGGAGTCGGTCTGTTCGACCTTGGCCGGAGCTCACGGAGCTGTTCCAGTCCGGACGTTGAGGTCGCGCAAGAGCGGGGTTCTCGCCCGTCGGTTGCCGGTAGGAGAATGCGCGGAGGTGTGGCGGCGCCTGTACCTGGGCGAAGCGGGGAATGGCTACCCGCCCCCTCGTCTTCCTCGCCCGCCCTCGGCATCCCGAGCCCGACGTGGAAACACTCGCAAGTGGGGTCGTAGGTGCCCTCGTTGTCGGAGTCGGAGTAGCCAAGCGATGAGTCGCTATGGCGAAGCGACGACGATAGCCCCGGGGTCGTGGAGTCCAGAGAAATCTACTCCGGGCCATGCCTCGTCCTCCTCCGAGGAGTCGGCGTGGGTGCCCAGGTTGAGAGTGAAGCGCTGGCGGCGTTCTGGGGGATCCTTGTGAGCGGCGGCGTAAGCGTAAGCATAAGAGGTGGCGACATTTCTCAACCCAAAGGGGTATGAGGATGGTGCTGTCGCCGGACTTTGCTCCGCCGAAACCGGCTCTTCAGGAGTGGTGGAGCGGAGCTTGGTGACTGGCATCGCCATGTGCCACGGCGCGTTTTCCTTCGTCCAAGCTCAAAGCTAGACGGGTCCCAGCCAGGAGCCTGTGCAACAATTTGGTCATAGGATGTCGTCGGGGAGCGGCGTGTCAATCTGGATTCGAGTAGCATTAGGGTGGTCTTGCTCGCGTCGTGCTTGGTGAGCCTGGCGAGAGCGGCCGCCCGGGCGCCCGCGCCGCTGCCGGGTCGCCGCGCGTGACGTCGTCGGTTGGTTGGTGGGGCTCGGGCGTGAGGAGTACCATGTCGTACTCATGCCCCAGAGACATGAACTCTAGGCCCCCGAACCAGATCACCGTGCCGAGACGTAACGGTCGACGGGGGGTCGCCATCCGAACTTGTTGGGATGATAAACCGACACGCAGAGGCCCCTACCGGCGCATGGCCTAATCCGGTGTTTTGGACCGGGGTCCTCTACCAACTAGTGAATTTGAACTGCGTGCCCCTAATCCCGGATGATGATGCAAAGAGACACAAGGTTTATATTGGTTCAGGCAATCGATGCCCTACGCCCAGTCTAAGAGATCGATCTTGTGTTCCTTGCACCGAAGTGCTGGTAGTAGGGGGTTACAAGCACAGGGAGAGAGGGAGCTAATCCCAGGTCTCGGCGAGGTGTCGTGTGGGCTGCTTGAGACGTTGCTCTCAGGCGGCTGGGATGTGTCTGTGTGTGAGCTACCAGGTGTTCTTCCTATTTTTCCTCCTCCCTTTTTCCCCCCTAGGTTATCCCAGGCTGCTTCCTTTTATAACCGCAAGGAGGGAGCCAGGAGTACATGAGTGAGCTATACGTGGAGCCTACTGTAGTTCAGTCCTGTAGCAGCATGGTGTTGGGGATGGCGATTGGTACTTGACTGGCGCGTCGTGCTGGCCAGGCCCGAGGTTGTTGAGGTCGTGGGAGTCCTTGTTGACGTCTAGTCTAGTATAGCTTCCACTGTAGGAGGCATGCCGTGCCTGTGTGTTCTTGACTTGGTGGAGTGCCGAGGGCCTCAGCTGGGGTCAGAGTATGATCGATCGTCGAGGGCCTGTTTTGCCGAGGCCTCTGAGGTGACCCATGTATGATGCGGGGTCTCGGTGGTGGTGTCGCATCCGGTTTTAAGCGGAGAAGTGCGGAGCGATGTGTCCCTGTGGCACACAGTAAACCTTGCACCGCTAGTAGGGGATGGTAAAAAGGAGATTTGACCGCTGTCCCATCACCCCTGTTGCTGTACCCTGTCAGTCGTGGCTGACGTAGTTGGTGCGACCAGGCGCATTTAAACGGATGTGACGGCTCGCCAGAGGGACGGTTGAGGAGGAGGCGACGAGGATGTGGGACGAGCCCGGCCTCGGCCGAGGCGGAGAAGGAATAGTACGTCCGAGGCCCTGTCGGGGGATCTCGGACGAGGCGGAGGCGACGAGGATGCGGGACGAGCCCGGCCTCGGCCGAGGCGGAGAAGGAATAGTACGTCCGAGGCCTTGCCGGGGGGTCTCGGACGAGGCGGAGGACGAAGGTTTGGGCTTTCATGCTGATTCCGAGACTACTGGGACCCGGACTTGACCCTCCACGCCACTTTGTCCTTGGCGCAGGAGTTAGGTAGCATAGGGCAGTACGGGTGTCAGCAGGGGGCACAGTGATGAGCACAGTGGTAGGTAACCCCTGCTGCGCTGGTCCCCCGTCCGTCCGTCGGTCCATTCTATCTTCAGACTGTGCTAACGTGGGCCGACGTTAGGGGAGTAGTGGGGCGATTGATTGGACGTGGCGTATTTTGTCGTGAGTCGGTCGGGACGGAGGTGACGAGGTTGTTGTCGAGCCCAGCCTCGGGCGAATCGGAGAATTGGTATCCCGGTATTGCGGGGTGGGGCCTCGGCGAGGGGGCCTCGGCGAGAGGGCCTCGGCGGTCTGAGGCCTCAGCACAAGCCTTGGACGAGTCGGAGAATCTACCAAGACCTCGTGATTGTCCTTTGGCTTTGATTTTGGCAAGGCTTAAGAAATATTTTTGGTTCTTGCTTAGGGTACCTCTTCTTTTAGTATCCGACAACCCCTATGACACATATCACATTTGATGTGACACCTTAAATTTTTAGACCCTGGAATAAACAAGGGATCAAAATGGATGGATTGATTGATTGGCAGAACAGGGGGCTATTTAAGCTGTGTTTAGTTTGCGAAATGAAAATTTTTGAATGTCACATCGGATGTTTCGGGGATGTCGGAAGGAGTTTTCGGATACTAATAAAAAAAATTAATTACATAGCTCGCCTAGAAACTGCGAGACGAATTTATTAAGCCTAATTAATCTATCATTAACTCATGTTAGTGACTGTAACACTTATGGCTAATCATGAACTAATTAGTCTTAAAACATTCATCTCGCGATTTCCAATCAAATTATGCAATTAATTTTTTTAATCTATATTTAATACTTCATATATATGCCACAAGATTCGATGAGATACTCTAGGCTGAAATTTTTTGAAAACTAAATCAGTCCTTACTAACCGTGACATAGGCAATTCAGAAGATGCCGCGGCTGCGAGCAAGCTCGAGGATATCCTTATGACTGGTGGTTGGAAGAGGAGCGGTGGGGACCATGAGCACGCTCCTGACGAAGAGGGTCGAGTTCGGGGCTGGGGCTCGGAGTCGGAGTCGGAGTCGCAGTCGCAGTCCAGATCCTAGGCTTCCGCGGCTTCCGCGGCCGGCTATCCGAGGAAGAGGAGGAAGCGGAAGAAGGGGAGGAAGGCTGGGTCTGGGTGAAGGGCATGGAGCACATGGCGATGCCGTCCTCCCCCTCCCCCGCCTGACCTCGCTGGCTTTGGCCCTGCCTCTGCGGGTCCTGCTGTGTGAGAGGCGGCGTGCTGAACACCTCGGCCTCCTCCTCCTCCTCGCCGCAGCCGCAGCCGCCGAGGAAGTGGGCGCGGGCGAGGAGGTCCGCCTGCGAGGCGGAGATATGGCCGCAGTCTGCCTCCAACTCCTCCACGCCGCCGCCGCCGCCGAGGAAGTGGGCGCGGGCGAGGAGGTCCGCCTGCGAGGCGGAGAGATGGCCGCAGTCCGCCTCCAACTCCTTCCTGATTTCTAACACTCTCGCACCGGCATCCGCGTCCCGAGCGGAGGCAAAGACGGCCATGCCGCCGAGGCACCAACGGAAGAAAGTTGGGAGATTGGAACCGGAAGGAGAGGGAACCGCCCTCATACCATCCATGCGCCTCCCATGTCGACCGGCTGGAGGGAGACGCGGCGGTGGCTAGGGTTTGGTTTAGTTGGATGGGAAGGACGGCTGGACAGGGCGGGGGCGCGTGTGGTGGGATCGAGCAGTGAGGAGGGTCGCCGGGTCGGAGGGAGAAGCCGAGAAGGCGAGAAGCGGGCGGGGTGGCTGTGGCTCCGCCGGGAGCGCGAAGGAGGTGAGGAGGGGCGTCGGCGATGGGCCGCTTCGACGGGCCGAAATTTACTGGTCCGGGCCTCTCATTCTGTCTGCTTTTGGTGAGAGCCATGGAGGAGAGAACAGAAAGATTCCTGCAATCCGTGTGTTCGCCGCCGGCGCCTTCTCCCCCGTCCCCAGTCCTGGAAGTGTCCCCCCCGCCTTCGTTGCTTTCAGTGGAGAGAGCGCTGGTGTGGGCACTGTTTCGGTTGAGGTTTCGACGATGCGTGATTAGTAGCTCAGAGTTTGCTTTTCCGTCTTATTATTTGCGTGATTTTGGTAGCTGGTTTACTCTAGAGATAGCTGATGTCTGAGCATCTCTTCGAGGACACCTTGATCGTTACCAGGCTAGATCCTGATGCCAAAAAGTTTGACAAAGGTAATTTCTTTCTTTAATTGTTTTTCACTTCTTTTTACGATTTACGACACGAATGACAAAGGTAATTTCTGACTGCGAGACTGTAGTAATAATAATAGTGTAATGACAACTACAGCTGATGTTTTCTTGGTTCAGTTTGCCTTGATCATATCAGTGTCGTTCATGGTTTAGTACGATTTCACCATTTTGATGTTCATGGCACTGTTAGCTGTTCTCATGGTTTAGTATGATTTCACTATTTGATAGAATTAATTGTGGTACCATCTAAAGCAGATAAGCGATTAGCAATGGAATTGCGTTGAAAATCAGAGTGGGTCATTTCCATTGATACCTATAAGCTGTTCTCATGATATTTCGCTGTGCCATGCGCTTGTTGTGTAATTGGAGCTGGAAATCCATGCTCATGCTGTTAGATTTTAAGAGTCTTCGTCTAATCTAATTATAATTGGTAAATACATTCTTTTTTTGTGGGATAATGATTATAGTTTCCTTTTCTTCACTTGGCTGAAACAACACGCCTTCATATTAATTTTATATACTGAAAATCTCGAGCTGTCTGCTATCTCTAGTACTTGTTCTTGTAGGGCATACAATTAAAATCTAAAGTTGCACCCTGTATATTGAAACAGTTTGCATGCAATTATTAACAATTATCTGAAGGTTCTTATCTTGAATTATTCCACTGTATACTCTGTTACTAATCTATCCACATACTACTTTCTAATACGCTGCTTCTTTGTAATACTACTTTCTAATACGCTGCTTCTTTGTAACTTTATATAGGTACTATCGCTATTCTATTTTTAACTAACTATGCTCAGTTGCCAGCCTTGTTCTAGTATGACCTCATGTTCTGTTAATCCCTTGCGCATGTACAGTGTCTCGTGTTGAAGCTCACAGCGAGCAGTTAGATACATATATGCAGCTGGATGTTGCTACGGATGTGTATCCTGTGCGTGCTGGTGAGAAATTTAACATGGTTTTAGCGCCTACTCAGAATTTGGATGGCACTCCAGATACTGGCTACTACACACAGGTGATTAACTTATCCATTTTTGTTGAATTTGCATCATGCAACTTGAATTTTAATGATATTCACTGATGCAATACAGCACCCAGGTAACAGTGTCTTGGGTTCATATGATATCACCAAATGTGATGAAGCATGTATATAAGACCTATTTAACATATTAACATAAAGTATCAAATTTTCAGGCTGGTAGAAAAACTCTGGCAGATAATTATGAATATGTCATGCAAGGGAAGCTTTACAAAATCTCAGAGGACACCTCCAGCCAAAATGCTAAAGTGTATGGTTTTCCACTTTTCCCTGAACTGAAAGCTATCAAACAGTGTAGCAATTTACACTTTTTATGCACTAGAGTCTAGAACTTATTCCGTTAGCATGAAACTATGGGAGTATTCGATTCACTTGTGGCGGTGCTACTACATATTGTGTATTAAGATTTTTATCCTATTGTTGAGCTCTTCCAGACTTCCAGTACATATGACAGCTCACGAATTAAGAATCAAAGTATTTCTACATTGTTTGACCTTGTCAAAGTGAACACATCAAGTATAAAATTAATGTTATTCATGGTTCTAAAGGAAATGTACCCATATATCCTGATGACGCCCATATGATGAATCATGCTCGTGACAGAATTTGATTCTGCTAAGGCAATTCTGAGAAGTACTTTTGAACATCAAAAGAGCTTGATTTGAATATCCCATTAATCATGATTTATCTTCGCATTCTTTTCATCTGATAATAGCATTATTTGCGTATAGATATAGAAAATTACTTCAAGGTCACTTCAATATCTTATGTTGATAAGCAAGAATAAAATGGTTTCAGTTGATTACTTTTTTTTTAAAAAAAATCTTAACAGCTTCAATTGATTTGTTTAAAGTTTAAACCTTCCTATTATCGTAGAGTCGAATCTTATTTTGCATAGGCAGTAGTTCTTTCCAAAGTAGCTGTGTTTTCTCACGCTGTACTTTTCATTTTACTTTCAGGGAGATTTATGCATCATTCGGTGGTCTCCTGATGCTGCTCAGGGGTGACCCTTCCACTGCTGCTAGCTTTGAGCTGGATCAGAGGCTTTTTCTACTCATGCGCAAGGTTTAAAACTACCGCGGAATGTGCTAACTACCCTGATAACCTAATGCTGGTCGTTCACTTTGAGGCTATGGGTGTTTGGCCTTGTTAATACCTACTAGATATATGCCCGTGCGTTGCACGGGGTTATGATTTTTTTGACTGAACCTCGGCAGTCGGATGCAGACACGTGAGTTTCAACGACTTCGTATCGGACACGGACATGTGGATCCGGTCTTCGTATCTAAACCGGATAGGATGCGAACGCTTGAGCTCTGAGTAGTGGATTATTTGTATTGGACATGGACGCATGAGCAAAGATCGAGAGTTGGTATCACCAAGTAGATGATGATGTTACACTATTTTTAAGTGTAGAGATTAACAGAAGGCGTTGCCATGATTATGGAGATGCAGTCTCATAAATATACATAGGGTTTTCCATGGCAATGGAATCCGGGTGTAGAAGAGTGTTGGCACGCAACTCATTTCGTCTTCTTTTAGAGGCCCTTTTTGTCTCTTTTCGTCTGGCCGTCGCATTATACAACCTTTCGCGTTCTTGCCTTGCTTTCTTCTGCTCAAATGGCATATTTCTGTACCACTCTCAACTGTTAGCACATTTTCTCTCTCTTTGTGTATGTGGCCTATCAGCTGTGAAAATAGAACATTAAACAGAACAATTATTTTATTAGTGAATATGCATTGTAATATATACACTGTTTAAATAGTACCTGGTAATTGATTTGAGATGTTCCCATTACCAGCATTGTAACGTAGGTGTGAGTTCCTATTCATCCATTCACCATTGTTAGCAGAATCCTCATTTTTCTTGTTTATTGATACATCGCAACCTACATATTATTTCAGAAACATATATGAATTGTGAGAAATATTACGTGGTGTATATATATATATTGAGAAAACCATACGTAGTATCACCATTTTTTTTGGCTCGAGGAGCTTAGGTTGCCCTTTCTTTATTTGATATGATTAACGACGCTTCTTGTTCATTTCTGCTCTTTTCTCAGGAGGCATTGATGCACGGCGGGCTCTGTCCCTTTGATTTCTAAGTATTATAGGGTTAACGACTTCTGGACGTGAACCACATGCATTTTGACCCACTGTAAAAACTAAAAATAAGAAACCATGGTCATTGGTGTGTATATATAATCATAATACTCAAAGTTGCATTACCTTTTCTGCGTTGGTATGATTCACGACGCTTTTTGTTCAATTCATTCCTTCTCTCTTTAGACATCGATGCAAATCTTTCTCTTTCTCTTTTCCTCTTATGTTCCTTCGGGTGTTCATCCACCCTAGATGAATGTGATGCATTTTGACCAACTGGAAATTAATTGATATTATTTTTTGATGGGTGTGATATCGGTTATATTGAAATATATCCAAGTGACCATGTGCATAATTTGATACCTTTATTTGAAGTGGATGGAAGGAGTCGAGTTCCGTTATTTTCTTTGGAATCCATCTGGGCTACTTCAGAGAAATCATAATACCAGCTGAAGATTGCTAAGATTCCAATCTCGGTGCCGGCGCGTTTGGCGTCAGCTGAAGTACCTGGGCTTGCCCAGGTCGGGGCATTCTTACCGGTGCCGTAGCTCAGGTAGCTCTGGTTGCCGGCGGCGTGGTACAGCCAGCTAGCGGCCCACAGGAGCTCGTCCTGGTACGTCGTGGAGTTGTAGTAGGCGCTGAGCTCCGGGAACGTGCACGTGTAGCAGCCCCTGTGCTTGTCGGCGAACGCGAACAGCCGCTCGGCGTGGTCCAGGAGCGACGACGCGTACGTCGCGTTGGCGGGCTACACGATGACGCAGATAAAAAATTCGAGTTGACAGGTAGACATGCAGTACCCGGATAGCACGCAAAGCGCCAGCAGCAGGTGATCTCCGACACGGCGACCTCCAAAAACGCCTTTGGAGAGCAGTACGAGATCGACAGCAAGTAGCAGCTTTTTCCTTGAAACTGGTCGTGTTCGTGCTTTTGGAGAGCAGTAAGAGATTTTAATTTCCATCCATGGTGCTTGACCTTACCCCCTTGCTTCCCCGTGGGTGAAGATCGACAGCAAGTAGCAGCTTTTTCCTTGAAACTGGTCGTGTTCGTGCTTTTGGAGAGCAGTAAGAGATTTTAATTTCCATCCATGGTGCTTGACCTTACCCCCTTGCTTCCCCGTGGGTGAAGGTGAAGCTTGTTATCTGGTAACGAGTGTTGTTTCCTCTAACATGGATTCATGTTGTTTACCGTCATGGTTCCTTTTTTTCTCGTCAGAAATTAAAGATTTTTGCACACTAGTGAGATCCATAATTTTCATAGTATGGCCTTGTTTAGATTGCAAATTTTTGCAATCTGGACATTGTAGCACGTTTCGTTTGTATTTGACAAACTTTGTCCGATCATAGACTAACTAGGCTCAAAAGATTCGTCTCGTGATTTACATCCAAACTGTGCAATTAGTTACTTTTTTTATCTACATTTAATACTCCATGCATGCGTCTAAAAATTGATGTGATGAAGAGAGAGTGAAAAAACTTAAAACTTTGATGCAATCTAAACTAGGCCTATATTATTGTGTGTAACCCTAGGCGCCGCGTAGTTGCTGATCCCCAAGACTCATTTTTAGGTTTGTGCTCTGAACTTGCACAGAATCATCAGGTAGAGCCAAAGAGTGGCGCTTGATGTGTGGAGAAGTGGCCATCGGGCAATAGATCGTGGACAAATAGATCGTATGTGGTCACTTTTGCATCTCGTTTCATGTTGTTGCTTTGTTCGTGTGTGGTCAGTCAAACGCGCCTGTGTATGCTTTTTGTACCGCTATTTCTATTTAATCAGTACTAAATTCCCAATGAAAAATGCTATGTTAACCGGTGATGAGGTCTGGATTGCTTGGTTGCAAGTCCAAGTCGTGGAGAACAAATCTAAAGCACCACAAGCACTCTCGACAATGGCCCTGTTCGGTTGTCTTATAATCCGTACTTTTCGGCTTGTCTTTTCAGCCGGAACAGTGTTTTCTCTCACAATAAATCAGCCGGAACAATATTTCAGCTTGTTTTTTTAGCGAAACGAACGGGGCCAATGGGAAAGCCTAACTTTAGTCACCTAGTCGAAACAAGAGTGCCAAGTGTGTATCTACTGTATTAGTGTAAACGCAGGTTAGATTCTGACTTTATCTTTATTTTCCCATGAATATTTTTATACATATAATCCAATCTAAATTGCACTGGTATCTCTTACTAGGAATACGTTTTTATTTTGTAGGATCCAATTTAGTGAGAGAGAAAATTTTGTTTTGGTCAATAAATTAGGAGTCTAGAAAATTGATTGGACATCGATTTAGCTTATTAAAATGGGGATGCAATGAGGAGGAGGAGGGAGGGATGGTTGCCGCCATGGTCGAGCTCCGTAGCCTGGACAAGCTCGAGCATGGAGGTGAATAGAAACAGAAGTATTAATAAAATCTAAAAAAAATTAGAATAAAATCTAAAACGTTTTAAAAGTTATATAAGAGACATCTCAGAATCTATTATATTTCAGGACTAGGGGAGTGTCTTCACTTTTTTTTAGACACTGTTCGATCAGACCAATGCAAAAGCACCTAAGCCTGTTCCAGGCCCACGTAAATTTCTACTGGACCTTATCCAAACTTCTTTCTCGTGGCCCAGGATGAGGCCCAGGCCCAGGCAAGCCTTTTCTTCTCCCGTTCACTTCCTCTCCCCCTCTCTCGGCGACAGACTGGGCTACCTCCGCCGCCGCCCTACGCCAGTCGCCAGGTGCCCAGGTCTTCGCCGGCGACGAGCCCCCACCAGGTACGCGCACCCCTTCTCCTACCTTCCGTTCCCTTCCCGCTTTGCGAAACCGAGCATCCAAACCCTAACCCAGGTCCGCCCCTGGTTCTTCAGCGCGCAGGATCAATCTCGCCAGCTGTGGTTGGCCAAGCTGAAAGAGGATGGGGCAGGAGACGGAGGTGGCGGAGAAGGAGGTGGTGCATTCGGTAAGCGACCTCCCGGTGCAGGACCCGCCAGGAGAGGAGTTCTCCGCCGCCGACCTCACCTGGGTCAAGTACGCCAGCTCCGAGCACCACCGGGAGGACGTCGCTCTCATCCCCTACGACCGGATGGAGGCCTTCATCGGCGGCGAGAGCAACAACCCCGAGTGCCCCACGCGATTCCACATCGAGCGCGGCCGCAAGCGTGAGAGGGGCAGCCTCAGGGAGTACCGGAGCGACGAGTACCTCCTCTACAGGATGTACGTCTTCCCTGCTCTGCTCTGCTCAGCACATTCCTTTTTTACTCAAGCACATTCCTTTTTGACTCCTCCTGGATGGTTCTTTCTCTCCGCCGCTTCCTAGAGCCAACCAATCTTGACCTGTGTTAGAGCTAATTCCAGGTATTGGTGCTCGTTTGGCCCTGAGAATTATGGGGAGGGAGGGACAATATTGCCTAGCAGAAAGTACAGGCTCAACACGAGGAACCGTGCCGCTCGTCCGCAGTCCATGCGTGGCTGCACCTGCCATTTCACCATCAAGAGGCTCTATGCCCGTCCTTCCCTGTTGCTCATCATCTACCATGAGAGGCTCCATGTCAACAAGTCCGGCTTCATATGCCACGGCCCTCTCGACAGGGATGCCATCGGGCCTCGTGCTAGGAAAATGCCCTACATTGGGAGTGAAATCCAGCAGCAGACCATGTCATTGATCTACCTCGGTGTCCCAGAAGAGAACATACTGCAGACACATATAGAAGGCATACAGCGCTACTGTAGCGCGGATGCCCAGGTTGATAACCTTGCTTCGCAGTATGTCCAGAAACTAGGGATGATCATCAAGAGGTCGACGCATGAGTTGGATCTGGATGACCAAGCTAGCATCAGGATGTGGGTCGACAGGAATAAGAAATCTGTATTCTTCTACCAGGATTCAACTGAGGCAGATGCCTTCATTCTGGGGATTCAGACAGAATGGCAATTGCAGCAAATGATGCGCTTTGGTCATCAGAGTCTTTTGGCTTCTCATTCCTCATTTGGTGTAAGCAAGCTAAAGGTATCTTCCTTGCCTCCATTTCGAATAGCTATGTAAATATATAATTTCAGATCAGTTTTCTAAATTTTGATTGAAATGTCTAATTCTATCAGTAAGGACATGTTTCATGTTTTGTTTGACATTTTACTCGCCGTGGCAGTATCCATTGCACACGCTCCTTGTATTTGACTCAAGGCAGCATGCTCTTCCTATTGCATGGGTCATAACCCGCTCAGTTACTAACAACGACACACTGAAATGGATGAGGGCACTTACTGATCGAATACATTCTATAGATTCCACCTGGAGAATTGGTGGTTTTATCATTGACGATCCGGCTTCAGAGCTGGGTCCAATCAGGTATGACACTGGTTTGTAACTTTAGTAGTGGCTATCAACCCTTAATCATTTAAGCTGTAGACAGCTGTGCATTCCCATTGAGGTAAATGTGTCGTTGCTACAATAGTTTGTTGCCCTTGTTCCAGGGAGGTATTCGCCTGCCCAGTTTTGTTCTCTATGTGGCACATCAGAAGAACCTGGCTTAAAAATGTAATCAAGAAATGCAGCAATGTTGAGGTGCAGCGGGAAATTTTTATCCAACTTGGCAAAATCATATACAGTATCTGGAGTGAGAAGAATCCCATGGATGCCCTAGGGCAGTTGTTTCATGACTTTGTTGATCAAACAACGTTCATAAAATATTTCAAATCATTTTGGGTTCCCAAATTGGGTAAGAATTTCAACCAGTAATTTAGTAATATAGCTTGTCATGCAAATCCCTCTTGTACATGCTAATGATATTCCTTCTTGATAGAGATGTGGATTGACTCCATCAGAAATCTGCCATTAGCAAGTCAGGAATCATGCGGTGCCATTGAAGGTTACCATCTGAAGCTGAAGGTAAAAGCATACGATGATGTGCAGCTGGATGCTCTTCAACGAGTGGACTGGTTAGTGCATAAGCTCACAACAGAGCTGCATTCGAGCTACTGGATCAACTTATTTGCAGACGAAAGCGGATCATTTCCAGAGGTGAAAGCAGACTATATTGCATCCACGTCATGGCAAAGGGCATTGCAGATACCTGATGATGCTGTTACCTTTGATGACAAAGAGCCTCTTTTAGCCAGAGTGGTCAGCCAGAAGGATACCAGTCAGACGTGGACTGTATGGAATCCCGGTTCTGAATTCTCTCTCTGTGACTGCTCATGGTCAATGCATGGTAACCTATGCAAGCATGTGCTAAAGGTCAACATGATGTGCGGAGCACGCATAGATTTTCAGCCCTTGCTGTCTTTCCAGTCTTTTCAGCATGTCCTGCTTGATCTGTGGCAAAAACCATTGGATGATTCGTTCTCGCTCGACCTCTCGGTAGCATGGGTCATGCAGATGCAGGAGAAGATCAAACATGTAGCTGAGCTTGCCACCTCCGGTGGTATTGCCCAAGTTGCAGGGAAATTGCCGATTCAATGGACAAAAAAGAGAGGGAGAAGAGTAGCCACCAAGGGCACAAGCCCGTTACTTCTTCCTCATTCTAACGGCAGTTTGCAGAAGGACTTGACCCCAAAGAAGAGGAAGAGGCTATCTAGGTTTCCGGGGTAAAATGCACCGCCTACTCTTGTGGTCTCTCTGTAATTAGACGACTGTTTTTTTTTTCTGCCCGGTGTATTCCATTTCCTCAATTACCTTTGGGCTGAGTGGACTTGCTCAGCTACTTGTAATCAGCTCCACTTCCCTATGTCTCCTAGTCCTAGGAACAACAGCTGTGCAGTCTGTAATAGGAAGCCACTGGATGGGTTTCTCATATTCCAGTAGGAATGTAGGATGCTGCGAAATTCCAGTCTTATTTGTTTTGCTGGTGCAAAACTTCCCTTTGAAACTTGTGATGATGTGCGGATCGAGTTGCTGCTCATTGCAACTTGTAGGTACTGGAGTTTAGCTGGAGGCTCCAACTTAGCAAGGCGCAATCCCTATCTGCAGATTTTTATTTTAGTAAATGGTCCTGTTTTCATAAATTCAAATAAATTGCACTGTACGGATGGGTCGGAAAATCTAGGTGACAAACTGAGCTAAAAATCATCTGGTTGTCACCTACCTACTCCACGACAAAGAAAATATGCGATGCGTTACTTGTTCAGCTAGTACTTATGATCTTGTTAATGGTAAGATCTGACAGGTAAATCTTTCGAGGCGTCCCAACAGCTAGCTATTTCACTAGCTATTCTGGCGTGGACAGAGAAAAAATAAGAGAGGAAATAGTCATTAACGATGAATAAATAGCTAATCTATTTCACGTAGTCCAAAGAATCTGAGAGATGAACATATGGTCCAACAGTACATATAAAAATAAGAATGTATAAAATAGTTTTATTTTTGTCTCTCACCTCCACGTAAGCTAGCTACGTGCCTAGCATCATTGCGGACGCCCTGGAGATGTTCAGTTTTTGGATTTGTTATAGTATTTAATGACAATATTTGTCCAGAGTGGTAGGCAACGATATCCGTTAACAGTATTGTCGGTGTTTTCTGACCACCGACGAGTAAATTTGTATTTACGCGTCTGGCTCGGATGGTATGCTCGGAGGACACAAGTGTTTATATTGGTTTAGGCGGAACATCCCTACGTCCAGTTCGTTGCTGCTCGTGTTACCGACACTTGGTTTACAGTAGGGGTTATAAACAGGCGAGAGAGAGAAAGGATCCCAAGTCTCTAGTGGAAGAAGTGAACGGGTGCTGAGAGCTTGATTGCTGCTCAGTCATATGCTCGTGTCGTGTTTTTTCGCCCCCTCCGTGAGGCACCCTGCTTCCCCTTTTACAGACGAAGGGAAAACGCAGGTTACAAAGAAGAAAAAGTAGAAGAACCAGAGAAAGAGGAAGGCTTCCAGGGTCGCCGGGTCCTTCTTCTCCTTCATGCGGGCCCCGCTCATCCTGTAGATGTCAACAGGGACGGCTCTATGTCGCGGCCCTATTCGTCACTGGCGCCATGCGCAGGCGTCATCTGTCGGTCATGGCGCTCCACTCCGTTTCGGTGGACGTCGTGGTGAACTGACGCGTCTGTCGACGTCCGGCACGTCCAACACTGTTCTTGATGTGAATCCCCAGGTATGACCCGTCATGGCCACGGGTCACATCGAGGCGTGCCAGCCTCTTCCCTAGCGTCGGAGTTTTGACTCAGGCCCATATGCTTGGACCTGGAGTGGTTGGCGGCGGTATGGGTCCCCGTTGGACGAGACAGAACCCCACGTCCTCGAGGCCTGGCGAGACGGAGCCCGAGGTCGGGCGAGACGGAGCCCGCGGCCTTGAGGTCGGGCAAGATACGGAGCCCGTGGCCTTGGAGTCGGGCGAGACGGAGCCCGTGGCCTTGGGGTCGGGCGAGACGAAGTCCGCGGCCTTGAGGTCGGGCGAGACGGAGCCCGTGGCCTTAGGGTTGGGCGAGACGGAGACCGCGGCCTTAGGATCGGGCGAGACGGAGCCCGTGGCCTTGGGGTCGGGTGAGACCTTTTAATACATCTCGAGCCATCCGGAAAAATCAGCGTGGGCACTAACTTCCTTACTTTGGATATCCCTACCATCGATACCTGACAGTAGCCCCCGAGCCTACGGAGGAGTATAATACTCCTTTGGAGGCTTTTCCGGACGGGAGGACTCTGAGGGCCTTGGCCTTCTTTTGGTAGCCCACGGCGTGTCCTAGTAGGATGGCGATTTCCTTTTGTCGTGATCGGTCTTCTTAGGGGCATGTAACCATAGGATTTGGGAGGTTAGAAAGATTTTTCTTGAATCCAGTCCCCTAGGATCCGATCGGTCCACCGTCATACTACGACCGCGTGTTCGGTCTCCTTGCAAGTCCAACTTCCCTTGAGCCCCACGCGTGGTAGGGGTCCAGCCGAGGGTCGGCTCGTCTTTGTGATCGTCATCCCTCAAGCGTTTGATAAAACGGAGGGGCTGAGCCGTGCCACGTTCTTCCTCGATGGACGAAACATGGTGCTCGGTGAGCTGTTAATGGACTAGTCTGAGTGAGGCCCTGGCTTTCTATTTGCGGGGGTCCAGCATGGGTCAGCTGGTGACTGACTCCAGACTCTTGGCGGTGAATCCATATAGTTCCTAGGTTCGTTCTGGCGGTCCCAAGGGCTCGTTGCCTTTCTTTGAGGAAAAAACATGGACTGGAAACCGACCAAGACTCGAGCATGGGCCGGGATGCCCACGACGCTCGTGTGCCTAGGTACTGGCCGCTAGTGGGCCCATCCCTTTCTACCCCTTGCTCTAGGGGTGCCCCGGAGCGACTGTGAACCTGTCGCAGGGCCAGCCTTCGAACTCCTAGGCCTGAATGGGTCGTAGGAGCGTTTTCAGCTCCGTATCCCTCCTTACCTACGACAGTTCTTGACCCATCGACCGGGCGAACCGTCATTCGGTGTGTTTGTAACAGAATCGACCAATTATATGAAATTAAGTAAGAAAATCATCCGCCAGAGCAGACGATTTGTCAAACTTAAGCCCGTATAACCCGGTAGTCCGTGAAATCACGAAGGATTTCAAACCAACTCACATACCAGCCAAGATCGTAATAAGTTTAGCGGTTACCATCACATATTACATAAAAGTTCGCATCATAGATACATCAGAGTTTAAACATAGTTATTACAAACGAGTTCGAATAAAAGTAGCGGAAGCCATTTGTTCAAACCACACGCACTCACACGAAGTTCAAATACAGTGCCAGCTAATGATCATCTCCAACAAAAGCATCAGACGAGACGTAAGGAATGACCATGCCCATGGTCCTAAGCATCACCCATCGCAGGATAAAGGCAGTTGATACAATAGCCGTAATACATCTGCCCATCTGCAACAAGTGGGAATAAAACCCTGAGTACGAGAAGGTACTCAGCTAGACTTACCCGACATAACCGAAAATAAAGTGACACCAAGGATTATGAAGGGCTTTATAGTAGGGTAGCTGACTCATTTGCAAAAAGAGGCATTTTTAGTATTTCAAGAACCTTTCCAAAAGCATTATTGTCAAGTTAATTATTATTAACTTGTCGACTACATTTGCACCTATACTAGAGCAAGCATGTGATTAAGCAAATAATGATAACCAATGATCATTAACAACTTACATAATGTCATATTCCTTATAACTGTCCAAGTGTTCCATCAACATTACTACGATGAAGTCACTCAAGTCAATTGCTCACTATCCAGGAGCGATGGCGATTCGAATCGATTCCTAACCAGCTGGTGATTTATTCCTTACACAAACCTCACTCACCCGCTAAAGTGAGGTATCGATCACCGAGTCAACTATCTAGGAAAATCTCGAGTTTGCCAGGAACCACATGTACCCGGGGGTCGACCGACTGCCCTTTGGTCTTATCATCGCGTCCCCGTGTCCTACCACACCTGCTCCGGTACAGTGCGCTGCGGGCAATCTACTCGGCCCGAATAATCTCCCAGCTTCACGGTCGAAAGGTACTTTATTCGGCCAGCTAAATTTAAGGCGTGCGTTCAACATGACTCGAGGCCCAACAACGGTCGGTCCTTAATCGACACAGACGGAAAGCACTACAGTCAAAAACTCTGTAAGTCTCCGTCCGGTCTCAACTCCAATTAACACTTAGTTATACCATGACTACATAGTTATCCAAGCAGATCCAGGTAACCACCTATCACTCGCAGGTGACAGGAAATCACCCGACTTCTACCGGTCTAAGCCAGCTAAGCATTGACTCGACTACGAATACCAGGGTAACAAGGATATAGTATAACAAAGGTAGACAAGGTATAATGCAGCAACGGTTGCAAACAACTCCTGAACGTAATGCATCAATTAAAGTAAAGCATTTAATTAATAATTTTAAACCGGGGAGAAAGATGCTCCGGGGCTTGCCTCTCTCGAAGGAGCTCGGGCGGTGATCGGGGCACTTCGGAAGTTCCTCAACGTCCTCCTCGTCTGCTTCGGTCACTTCCTGAGGCTGCACCTCGAGCTGCTCCTCGGGCTCCTCGAGTATGACGACTGGGCTCTCGGTTTGCGATCCTGTATGATGCAGGTGCGTAAGTGCTTATGCAAAAGGTGCATCGGATGAAATGAACACAATGGATATGCTTGAATGCAAGGTAGTCAACATCATCCAAGAACATGTACTACAAGCACATGTCATCTATTGCATTCTCTTCTACTACTAATATGCTAAGTCAACACATCTCATTAAATGCTTCAAAGATACACCAAAGCTTCACTAATTTCTTCATCATACATAAAGCAACATTTGATTAAACCCTAATTAATAATAGGTTTGAATCTATTTTTATAGCTTAGAAAAATCTTAGAAAATTACCATAGCACAGTACTACCCTAAGTAGTCTACCATTAAATTTTTATGACATTTGAATAAGTGAAGTAGCCTACACAAAAATGACAAGCTATGGCATAATTATGAACATGAAAATACTTTGTATTATGAAAAGTGTCAAACAACAAATGTAATATTTTTCCTATGTTCTATACAGTAAATAATTATTGCACGAAAATTATCACATGCATGTTTTATACAAATTTTGCTCTCTAGCAAAAATAACAAAAATCAGCCATTAAAGGCACTTGA